TCATTGCACTTGGATTGACTCAGAAATGCTTGTCAAGAGGCTGTCAGGAAAATCACCGAAGTACACACTTGAGCTCAGATCTCAGTGACTTTTGATAGTACTGACCTTTGTGCCTTTGAAAATCTACCCCTTGCTCTCTGCAAAGTGATGGCTTCCCATGTGGTCTGTGATGTTTACAGTTATGCGTGCTAGGTGTTTCTGTGACCTCTTTCCACTCATTACCTATGCACTTAATATCATGGCAAAAGAAGGGCAATGATTCTTTTTTTGGCAATTGTAACTAAAATGCTACCATAGCAGAGGGTATGTGTTGGCCAAGTCTTTATTACGCAACTGTATGCAGATCACTGTGAATTGCATCATTCATCTGGTTCAGTGGTGCAGCACCAAGGTCACTGGGCATTCTTAAGCTAATGATGAGACCATAAGTCTAATAAATGTGCTTGGTAATCACAGCAAACATATTGCCATTGTCGCAGATGTTATTCTTTCAAAATCACTTGGCAAACACAACTAAAACACAGCCTTTGTGCATGCTCTGACCTCTCCTAAGAATGCACCATCAGGAACACTGAGAAGGTGAGATTGTTGAAGCAGACAAGTCGTGGCCTACAGCTACAAAAGCAGTATTTCTAACGGTGCCATTGCAGTTTGCTTAGAGTAAACATGCAAGAGGCTAAATGAACATGGAATCAGTGAAGGGGAAATTTTGCCAGAGAGCAGATTTTGAAAAGGAACATATCCATAAGTAATGCCAACACAGGTAGAGATCAATTCTGTATGGCAATTATCTAGGCAGGCTGACATTAATTATCCAGTTTATTTTCTGTAGCCATTATGCCACAGTAACCCACTACTTGCTGATCCAGTAGCCTTTTGTTGTCTGTCAGAAAATACATTAACCACCAAATGCATGGTGTCATTGCGAGCTTTGCCATTACATGCAGTGATTCACCATAAAGCTTATCAGATGCTGCAGTTGATGATTTCTCTGAAAGGAAATATATCATCTCCCAGGCTGCGTCACCAGATTGCTAGCATTATGCCCTCAAAAATTGGTGATGTACTGCCAGAACTTGTTGCAGCCCCAGCGTCTTGCAACCCATCATACATACATATATTTTTTTTTTTGCATATGTATGTTTATATCATATATATATATATTTGGCTACCAGGCTTAAACAAGCCCACAACAGCCTGAACCAAATATTCTCCTGATAATAAAAGAGGAAAAGGAAGTGTAAAACACACAACTTATTGAATTCTTGCTTTGCTTATGCCCATTATTGATATGAATAAATGTCACTAATTCAGCATTTCTGCAAAATTCACTCAAGATTGTTCAGTGGACAGAAAAAGCCAACATGTGAAAGATGGCTGTTTAGCAAGGAGCTGAAATAAACATGGCAGCATGACAGGTCTAAGACAAGACAGAGGTGTCATGTCCCATTCTCAAATGACATAAACAATGCAGTCATGAAATCAGTTTCACTGCTTTCGTATAACAGCTTTCCATGGCTTCCATGCTGAAAAACGGGAAAATATTACCCTTTGCTAATGGAGCTATTTCACCAGGAAGCACAGCATATGTCCAATTCAATGTGTCAGCAGCTTCCTATCCACAATACAGTTTACCAACTATTCAAGGCCTGTATTATAACCTTTCAGAGATGACATGTGACAGGATGATTTTTGATAAATAGTGGGACCTTGGTACTACAAATGTGGCCCTTGGCTTGCCAAGGAGAGCAGGTCTCTAGATGCAACCTGATGTGTTGTCAGCCGCTGCTGTTCAGGTAACCATTTTATCGTCATCGCATTCTATAGTCTCCTCTCACTCAGAATATGCTCACTTTCATTCTCACCTGCATTTTGTTGCAATAGAACTGCAAAATGTTTAGACTACAGCAGAATGCCGCAAGCTCGTTTCGGAGGGTCACCTTGAGTACACCTGGCACGCAAGAAATGCAGTGGGAGACAGGCAAGCACTTTGTCTCCTATACTTCTCCTATACCACCTGTGTCCAACACTGGTATCACCATTTGAAATAGCAAAAAGGAACTAAAAAAGTGCCCAATTTTGCGTGTGAATGCACATTCAGAATTGAACTTACATGTGCATGCTACGAAAATCAAGAAACCAAAGACTGATTAGACACTTTCACCCCCTGAAACCATGATTTTTTTCCCCTTTTGCTATGAAGCATATTTTACATCTTGTGATTTTTTTAACTCTTCAGGTGGGAAGCATGAATTAAAAATTAGACTGTGACCCATTGCTATTTTATAATCCTCTCTTTGGCAAGTTGAAAGTAGCAGCTTGCCAGGCTTGTATTTGAACTTTCATGGAATGATGTGAGGGAGTGAAATATGATGGCCCAGACAAGAGACAATATAGGAAAGCTAGGTGGTGTTGGGAACAAGAGGCAGAACAAGAGTATATTACTGAATATTCATGATTTGAACGGATCTTAGGCCAAAATAATATTTATTTTGATGAAGTAACTGCTTATAAGAGTGACCATAATATTTTTAGATTCAGGAAGCACACAGGAATAACAGGACCAAAACCATCACCATGGCTGTGCTGACCTTCAGAAGGGAGAACTATGTAAAAATGAGGAATCTCGTTTAAAAGATGTCAAAGACGGATAGCTATGAGATATAAATCCTCACAGGCAGCATAGAGACCCCTGAAGAAAACCATACTGGGAGCACAGCACCATTGCATACCACTTTCTGGAAATCCCTTGGGAAGAGGTAAAAGGAAATCAGCATGGCTAAACAGTAAGGAAAAGTTATTGAAAGTAAGAAGTTAGCATTCAAAATGATGAAGATGCATCTCAGTGAAGAAAAGAAAAAAAAAGGTATAAGTTCTGAGAGAATAAACATAAAGCTATAATTAGACTTGCATTTGCTTTGTAAATATTATGGCAAAATTTCAAGGTGTTCATTTTCCCTGTAAGTAATTTGGCTTGTGTATGACATCAAAAAACAGACTGATGGCTTGATTCACTGGTTCCCCCACCATTCATATCATGCAGATCAGGATTAAAATGAATATAAAGTGCTGCGGAATAGAGCCATTTTATACTTGTTTTAGGCAGCATGAGTGATAATAGGAAGTGTAGGACAGAAATGGATCTCAATGTTTCTAAACCATCTTTTCTGAACTTCAGAAGAAGCGCAACCCTTGGTAAATCAAACTGCCTGATTTTATAACCACACCCTGGAGTCATTTGACATGTTTATCTCTGCCTCATCAGTGGCAAATTTGCTCCCTGATACAACAAGACCAAATCTGTTTCGCTTGCAAATGCCGATCTTCCAAATTTACACACTTCCCACTTATATGCAACTAGATCCTACCTTGTTATAGCCACAATTTGCTCCAGGGTCATGCCTCCAACTTTGTCTCTCTGTGCTTATGTTCCTGGCCTTGCAGTGAAGAAATGGATAAAAACAGCAAGTATTTTTCCATAAATGAGTTGTGATTTTTTAAGGAATTGGCTAAGTACACATTACCTTTTGTTTACTTTTCAGGACCCTTAGTCTGAACTAGTTCCACTGGATTTCAGTAAAATGAATTCCAGAATGGTTTGTACAAGAGTTCTTAAGAAACCAAATATGCCAGCAATGGGAAATATTTTTACCAAAGGCGCTTTCAATTCAGAAACAGAATCACTAGCTTGAGGACAAACTGATCTTCTAATTTAGGTCTGACCTGAAAAGAGTTAGGAAGACAATTAATTTTATGTGGTTTTGAGCAGTTCTGCCATGCTAAGCTTCTGCACAAGTGCTTGCAGTACCAGGACCCTCTCTCACAGAATCAGTGATCCTCTGTCTAGAGAGAAATATTTTGTAGGAATTTCACTGAAGAGTTCAAAATAATTAATAAATTGGAGGATAATCAAGATCATAAAAATATTCATCAAGAAGGGAGACACCCTAAAACACTGATGACATCATCGGCTGCGACTTATTTCCTTCACATTTACCTTTATTTCATCCATTTTTTTTCCCTAGCCCTTTCTACAGCTGCATTCATTTTCTCTACCGCTGCCTACTGGGTTTGGCTCTTGTTATGACTGCACACGCATCTCCATTTCCTCTTGATGGCTTGATATTTCTAATATTATATTTTGGAACATCATCTTGTGCATCCTGTGCTTTGTTGCTTTTATAAAAATGTTAGGTTCCTGTAAAACTAAAAGCAGCAAATAGATTTTTTTGAGGGCAGATAAAATTGTGGAGATTTTTATTTTGCTTGCTGAAATACATTTCTGCCTTTCAGGAGACATTTTTGGGAGTTGCCTTTGCTTTGTTTGGTGCTTTTCTGCAGTGGCAGCAGGTGGTGGTTTAGCGGCAATTTTAAAATATAACATTACTGTACATTACAAACACAATAGTGTTTTGGACAGCAACACCTCTTAAAAAAACCCCAACAAGATGACATTCCTAGTTTCCTCCCTCTGTTCTTGGACAATTTTTCAACATCACAAAGCAGGGCCACTCACTCCTCTGTTAAAAAACCACAAGCCCATACATGTAAATTCTGGATATTAGTTAGTAATCGTATAAGATGGCAAGCTGGGTTTTTTTGAAACATATAAATTTGTATCTTCACTTGATTTACTAGGTCTATTAAATATTTATATTATTGCTTCCCAGTTACTCTCTAGTATATGTATTATATATTAAAAACTCAGAAAATATTTTTTTAAATTATCACTTATTTCATTTTTTTTCACTTTTACTACCTTCTCAATAAAAATGTTTTTCTTTAAAATGTAAGACTTTCAAAACACCATTATTGCAGTCAACTACCTGTAAGCTTGATTTTTTATTTGATTATCAGCCATTAGGCATACAAAAGGTAAGTCCTATAATCTAATTTTGTTAATGGAACGTAATGCAACTCTAGGCAATCTAAAAATAAGTAAATAACCCCTTTCCCCTCCAACAACCACAGAGTGTAATAAGGCTACCAGAAAATACATCTCAGAAAACTGTTAGAAGCGCAAAAAGTCCATAGAGTAAAGCACATGGGTACGCAATGAGAAGCTGCTGTCCTTCCATAGCCAATGCAGAGGTAAAAATTTTGGAGGCTGACAAACTGCACCATCCAATAATAAACAGAGCGAATAAAGTTCCCGGGATCCCCCTAGGAGAAAAAACAGAAGAAACACAACAAAATCCACTTGTTAGTAAATGTAGCATTAAATCTTATCAAACTCAAGTTCATGTCTAGCAACTTGTTGTTGATAAGGTAACAGCCATGGGAAGAACCAAGGACTGACTGACGTAATGAAAGTCAAGCCTGAGAAACAAAGTAAAACAGTAACAGGAAACAAAAAGGTCATTTCTTCAGCATGGATAAAAGCAGCAGCTTCATCAGTAGTACTGCTAAAAGGACAAGTGCATTTCCAAATAAATCTTTGGGGCTCCAGCAGATGCAGCAGCTGAAGCTTAATTTTAAAGTTAGCAAAGACCCTATTACAGCCAAAATCATCTTGTAGAAGTTGTTAGGATCTAAAATGACACTACAGACCTAATCTTCCATCAGGCAGCCTGATGACCTGGAGAGGTAGCATTTTTGTAACACACAGCACAGGTTTTAAGTGTGCCTTGGACTCTAAGGAGAGGCAATCAGGCTCTTAAAGAATTACACTGCAGCTGACCATGTGGAAAGGTGTTGACTGCCTCCCAGGAGAAAGCTCAACTGGTCTTTTAAAAAAGGGTGCACGCTGAGTAGAAAGTAAGGGATGGGAAAAGAACCACTGAGAAAAAATATTTTGCTCATCCTGGCACCCTTCTCTGTACGCTAAAAGGACGGTGGCTTTCCAGACTGTCTCTTGGTGACAGCTGAGCCCTTCTGAAGGGACATTCTGCCACCTCTCAGGTGCAAGGTGGCCCGGAGAACTGATGAGTATGGGACTCTGGTCAAAACCCCGCTGAAATATTCCTGCAGGTTACAGAGAGCTCACTATTAAACCTTGTAGAAATAAAATCTTGCCAATAAATAATGTTTCACATATGCTTTATTTGCACTCCGTATTTGCAGCTTCCTTCTGTAAAATGCATGAGATCATGCGTGCAATATGCTGCTGAGTACATAATGAGATCAGCTGCATTACGCACTTTCGCTGCGTCAGTCTCAAGGACGTGGAGAATGAATGAGCCTCTGCCCCTTGCTAAAGGGCTTCCTGGTGCCCCACTTTTCCAAAGCATCAGCAAAACAGAACCAGAAGTGAGAAACAGACTACATATACTTACTTGGGTCCATTTATCAGAAATAATCTCCACTAATATTATTATTGCAGTTAAACAGACTACATATACTTGGGTCCATTTATCAGAAATAATCTCCACTGATATTATTATTGCAGTTAAACCATGATGAGTAAAGCTCTCCTTATTTAATTGACTTAGTTTATGTAATGCAATCATATCACATGAAATAGTTTGTTTCTTGGCGATCCAGTCTCCAGGCCAATAAGGTATTCAGTGTTGTCAGCTCTTGGGACTTTGGGGGAGGAAGGAATTATTTTAAGGTGACTCAGCACCTCATTGCAACTTCAACCCGTTAAAAATAAAACATTAAAGACTATGTGATTTAATATCCTCAGTTTAAATGTTCTTTAAACCTCTACAGTGGCATTCAGGGAAATTACACTGGGCTCTGTGAACCAAGTTCCTGGCCCCTGCTCCAAGTGGAGATGCTAAGATGCTCACTTCAACAGCTAGCCAGAAATTCAGAGCTGGTACGGATGGTTCTCTGAGCAGGTACCCATGCTGGCAGAGGGATGGGACGTAACAGGAGCGTACTGTGCGATGACGACTTTCAGCTACTATAATGACTATTTAGGGGCCTCTCACAAGGTAATAGAATTTAGAGATGTGGTTGTTTTGCCTGGCACTGAAGTCCAATGGCCTCTCATAGTTTGTTCCAGGACTGGCAGTGAGCAGGATGGAAAGGTGGCATAAAATCATTCTGGAGCCAAGATATGCTTCTGTGGAGTTATAAATTCAATCCTTGATCTAACAGCATGTTACTGCCAAAATTTAGCTTTAGCAGAGAGCTTGTGTCTAGCATGTGCATGAGGGCCAAATCCTCAAGCATGGGAGAGGGGCAAAAGGCAGATGTCATGCTCACAGTGACCAAGGGGACTGGGGGTGAGATTGAGTTGGGGAACAGACCTGAGTGGGCCCTCTCCACTCCTCTCTCACAACCTGCAGATGAAGTCACTACATGGGTCCTTTGCATCGGCTGGGTCTAAGAATTCCTTTCTCCACTCTTACACTCATTTCCTTCACTGTTTAGTCAAGGAAATGGCTTGACCACTCTCCTTAGGAATTTGATAATAAAGAATTGTTGTTTCTTCCAGGAAAAAAGGCTGCTGAAGTTTCTCCCCAAAAGGACACCTAATCAACTTGGGCTCAGGCATGGTATCAGTACAGATGGGCGCAAACAAATACAGTTCCACGCAAGTTTGTGTAAGAGAACTGGTTTTCTCAAAATAATTCATATTGTGCTTTATTCAGTGACAGTGAAATAGCTAACCATGAAAATCAAAAATTATTGGATTAGTATGTATCTTTGCAATAGATGTGTGCATTATCTTCAGTATATTTTCTGTGAAAACAAACATTGAAGTTAGTTTGAACTTTGAAATAGACAGAAATAACATTTTTACAAATACTAAAAAAAATCATTAATGTATTTCTGTCTTTCCTTTGCCATTTTAAATAAGTTTTTAAATTAAAAATAATGAAATGTGTGTTGGATTTGAAAGTTACCGCTCAATTTTAATAGCATGTTCATAGTAGTTAACCTTGGTACTTGCTGTGTTCAAGCAGTTTTGTATAGTGAATGAGAAAGGACTGCAGAATCCTGTAGATAGGCACTTAACATTATCAATTCATTTCAGAAATAATGGTTTAATTTTGTAAAGGCTATTGCAGTATAGTATTTATAGATTTTCAAAAGATGTGCTTTCTATTAACTCACAGCATTTTACAAATGTGCGGCGCACACTTGGGGATTCTTTGTACAGACAACAGTGCCCTGCGCAGTTGTAACAGCTGGTTTGGAGTTCGCCCCATCTGTCCTATGATTATGGATCTGCACCTTTTATTATGGTGGATTATTAAACAAGTTAATCAAGAAAATACGGGAAGTGTAGGAGAATAGGGAATAAATGGCTTCTTCAGTGTCTCTACTGTTCATCCCATCAAGGACGGCTCAGAAACAATGTCATACACGGAATACGGTCAGGTTAGCCCACCGTGGCTCCACAGAAACACGCAACAAGGATTGTGCCAAAATCTTCATCGCACTATGTAATTTCCTTAAAAAATAATATATACATATATAAAATTTCTGCTTTTCCAAAGAAAACAAACAGGGGCCCTTTCATATTCACCAGCTGCCAAGTCCCGTACACTACAGATTGGAGAGTTAAAAATGTGAGTGAACAACAAAGACTGAGGAGGGGAACCATTATTAATAACATGCTAATGATGGATAAAAGGACTGCTCAAGGCCTTCAGGCAAGACCTGGAGCTTTCTTGTACTTTGCTGTATGTGAACAGGGAGGTAAACAGTCTGTATCTCAAAAGGCTTACCGAATGCGGAGGAAGGAGAGGCTGCATACAAAATTCCTATTCATAGGCATATTACTGAACACCTCCCCCACGCATGCACAGATACATACACCACCGCACATTTGTTTTTTCAGAGTTTTCAGTTATTTTCAGATTTTCAATTACACCACAACTATACCTCAGAGTATATGACTCTACTATATCTTAAAACACTTGTTCTGATGCTCCAAATCATTAAGGGTTGCTTGATTACTTCATTCTGTCATACAGAAGTCGATCTATAGAAGGAAAGGAAGCATAAGGATGGGAGCCTGATACTATGAACAGAAAAGGAACAGGAGAACCACCTACATAAACCCAAAGTCCAGCAGCCTCTTTTAAAATTGCTACCTAGGTTGGCTCTGCAAAACAAAAAGCACATTCAAGGCTGCTGCAAAAATCAAAGGCATCTCAGTCCAAGTGGGAAACAGTGGAATTAAGGACTCATATTAAAATGAATATATCTCACCTTTCTGAAATGCAGTCCAGTTTTGTCCATTTCCGTCTACAAAATGGTGTTTTTCTTAACGGTTTCAGAAGCCAAAATTCACTACATAACCATTTACAAAATGTTTTGCATAACACCAGCCTTCCAATTTATTGTCCTCCCTATGATTCTTGTTGCCATAGAGTGGTACTTACTGTAGCGAGAAGATGACTGCAGAAGAGGACAGGATCACCATGGGCAGCAGGCAATAGCCCAAGACGCTTGCGACACAGCCATGCGAGACTCCCGGGATGCTCATCAGGTTCAGTAGGGCATGCATAGCAAGGCACCCAATGGCGCTCATGCCGTACACATAGCTGAAATGGACTTTTCCTGCCTGGAAGAAATTCGAGTAAGCATGAGGTGTCAGAAGTCAGTAAGTGATTGCAAAGGGGTGGGAGAAGACAGGAGGAAAATGCTAGGCTTGTTACTTTTTCATGTTGACACTCTCCGCTTCACCTACATTGGTTCCACTGTAAACCACAGCTGATACTTTTGGGTGATTTTTGCCTGAAAAAATTCCGAGGTACAATTGTGAGGATGTGCCTGTCACTAATTTAAAATTATAAGCCTGATTCTCAGTCTTACTGTCATTGGGCTCTGAATGGGACAGGAATTGGTTGGGGACACCTGGGAAGGTCTCACTGGTAACAAAGTGAGGAGAAATTATGGAAAGCACATTTCAGTGTCAGGAAAACTCTTTCCAATAGGTGTACATGGGGCTGCACGAAAGTGTCTTAAGTAAAATGATGACTCCACTTACTTCACATTTTATTACAGACCTCCAGCTTTAAGCAGGACTGCAAAAAATAAGTAAAATTTTGCTGAAAGTATGCTGGTTTTCAGGGTGAATGTGTCCATTCTTCCGTTGACTACCATGAGAAAGACACATCTCTGTGCTTAGATCAATAAAACATGTTCACTTCAACATAAACCTTAGTAGTGACTGTCAGCCTGTGTTCTTTTTTTGTTCCAACGAATGAAAAATTCCCCAGGTGTATTTTTCTTCCAGGTTTTATTCCTTTGTGTGACTTTAGTGCCTGTGAAAGGTACCAGCCTGACAGCCTGGAGCCTGATGTTTTCTAATTTATACACAAAGCTAGTACAACAGGCAGCAGTGGCCACAGTACCACCGATTTCTTCATCTCCTGCCATCATTTTGAAGGATCACCTCCAGGCATGAGGGCATTGTTCACTCCCCAGAACGAACACTCACAAAAGACTGTTAAATATTGTTTCTCTCTATTTAAGATTCTAACAAATGAAATACTGAATGTTGGCTACGCAATACTGTCATTTTCACATTGGTACATAAGAAATAAACATTTCGACAACACAAATAAATAGCGACTGGGATGAAGATGGTTTTGTTTGCTTTGTGTATCCTAAAGATAACATTCATTTCTGAAGGAGAAAGCTGAAACCTGGGACTCAACCCTTAACTCAGGTTTCAACTTCCCAAAAGAAGGGCCACAATGCATCATCTTCCTAACACATAACCATACGTATATACATACTTAAACCACAGGTGTGTTTCTGCATACACACATCTATATATTGCACATTTTATATTGCATATGATAAACCACATGGGAATCAAAACTAATAGAGGGTCCCAGCTTCCTAATAACTTCTTAGCTTATGGTTGGATTCTCTTGTGACGGATAAGGTAGAAATATTATTGAAGCTTTTTTCATGGTTTGCAATATTTACAAGTATCTCTTCCATGATGGTTAGGGGGGATTGAGAAGACCTCCTGCTTTACTCATCCATACGTTTTAATAAAACCTGGGGCAAACCAACTATCTTTGAGGATGCTGCTTCTCTGCTTCCTGTATCAATTTGGGTGGAAACTGATCACTGGATGCCAGTGGTATTTGAGCTGGACAGATATAAAGCAACACAGCAGAGAGAGCCTAATCCAGAGATGACACAACCCAATAGTCCTAATGTTGCAGATTCTGACAGCTCACCAGCTCCGGTTGGAAAGCAGTGTACGCTTACGTGAAAGGCAGCCTCAGTTAGTAAGACCTGCCTCTACATCAGCACCGTTATCCTCTTTTCAGCTTGACCTGGCTCATTGCTGAGCTCTCCTCTGGTTCCAGTCCTTGAGGTTAGGTCAGGTACAGCCAGGTTGCCTAAATCCTCACAATATCCTGAGTGTTGGCCTTTTCGCCGCCAGTGCATTCCACCGTAAAGGAATACTCTATTCCCAAACAGCAAAAGAATTCTTCCTATTTAGGTACAGAGTACTTTGCTGGCATTTGCATATTACTGGTATGAAATAATAAGGAAAAATTGCTTCATCAAATAAAATAAATGATAGTTAGAGACTGTGTGGGAGAGCAATACTAGCTCAGATTATTATCAATTACCATTTCAGTCATCAAAGATTTGTATCAAGTTTAACATCTGCAATGGTTTGGGGCAGCCTTTACTATGGACCAACTAAGAAAAGCTCTGTCTCAAACAGATGCAACAACAGCTACAAGCTTTTAGACTGTTTGTTTCGGTGTATTTAATTATTCCACACAGCACTATTTAGCAGCTTAGTTTACGATTAATTATTGAGACAGAGATGAAGGGAGCACTAGCACTGGCAGCTAACTGAAATCTCCACTCGGTGAAATGTTTGACTGGTGGTGCAGGAGAATGAGAGAGATAAAAAAAAGCAGCTGAACATGTTGGTTCCAATTCTAGTCATTCTTAGCATATGTAAATATATTGACTCACACACACGGGAATACTCCCTATTCGGAGTGATGTAAGCAAAACCAGAATCAGGCTTGATTAGTCTGGCAGGCTTTGATGAATGGGAAGAGCTAAATTTGTCCTGCGGAAGGAACAAGGTTAGAAGAAAGTCAGACTTTGTGCGCTTGTTTGCATCTGCCTCGAGTAGGTACTACAGTCCTTAGTTTAAGTGGATGGGGAAGTGTGATTTCCTATGAATGACTACGTAAAATGCAACACAACTGAGACTTGGGCTTCTGCTAACTTTTGCACTATCATTGTTTCTCTGTCTGCAATGGAGCTGCCCTGTTTTACGCCAGTGTGAGGAAGATCAAGTCCTGATGCCAGGCTAACAATCCTTTCCTCTTTTTCCCTGTGCTCTGAAAGACCTTCTGCCTTTTGAAGAATATCTTTGCATATTTTTCCATAGTTAAAAAGCTGAAACTAAATAAAATTTATAAATTATTTTTGGAAACAGGCTCTCAACCAAATTATGTTCCTGGTGCTATTAGAAGAGAATTATTCAAGTACAGAAGGATATCATAGCTTACACAGCTGAAGAGCCACTTTAGTATTCAAATGCATCGGAGATAAAATGAGCAGCCTGAATTTGTAAGATGGCCCATGGAAATCCCATAGACTTATTGCTGTGAAGTTGTGGCACAAAACCACTAGATTGTATCAGAGGACTTCTGCTGACCTAAAACTGGAGCCGTGGAAATTGTTGGTTTTCTAATGATACTTAAAACACTTAATATCCTAGAATAAATATGGTAATTAAAGTACTTTTTTCCAATAATAGTAGTTTAATATTCATTACAATTGTTGGGTATCCAGGGAGAAAAATCAACAGCAACCTTTTTTTTCGTTCTTTCTTTTAGCTTTCCTTCCATTTTCCTGATCATAATCAATTCAACACTTTCTCCTTTTGTTCCCCTCATACCTTTATTTCTCTAGGTGGAAAATAGCCTGCCTTCTCTAGCTTCCCACCTTCTTTTCCTTTTATTCCCTTTCTTCCTGCTGCTTCCACCCTTTTAAAGGATTTTTATTTTTATAGGGACATAAATAATAATAATCCTTGACATTTATATTGCAGTTTGCACATTCAAGGTACTGTACTGACATTACAAATTGAGTAAGAACTTGCAAGAGTCTTCTGATTCAGCACTATTTATCACAGAGGAAATGGAGAATTAGAGCCCCGTTTCTCTCACCTCGGTTGCTAGAGCAGTAAAGCCCTTCCCAGAATGGTCCCACCTTATCCCTGTCTGATAAATTGCTGCCGACAATCAGAGCTGTACTTCAGCAGTGCTGGAGAGCCCCTGTTGTCAGTGATAAATAGGCGAGTTTAGGAGTAGCGTACAGTCCCTGTTCAACTTTCCTCCTGTAGGAAAGCTATAAAGAGGAAAGAGGTTAAACACAGGCTACCATATTTGGTTTAGCAGATGATTTAGGAAAAGAACATAAAACTAAGAAAGCAATAGCAAAATTTATAGGAAGGTATTGCAAATTTGAGGCAGAAGGGAAGAGGCTCTTTCCACTTCCTTTTTCAAATTATTTTAGTTACACAAAGATCATTTTTTTTATATCTTTGCAGTCCCCAAAGTAACATCGAGAGAAGATCATTTCAAAACAGTAGCAAGAGTGTCAGAAAAACTGGTCTGCTATGCTTTTTTATGCTCTCCTTTAAAACCTCCTTCTTAGGTCCTTACCTAAGTGCACACTGCCATGCTTCGGGTGTTCAGAGCCTCCGCAGGATATACACTGCACAGATCTGTCCTTTGTTCCTATTAAATCCCACCCAAAAAAATGGCATGGTCTTTTATTTCCACTGAAATTAATACATCACTTCACCTGTATTACATTTATATTACATTTAAACTTTATGCAGGTACTTTCGAAGCAAGGAGACTTTTAAATATATAATCTCAGAACAAACGGCAGCAAATGACTCATTTTATGCCAGTGCTACATCTTCTGCAGCTTCACATGTGTTATCAACCCGGCATTAACTTGCTGGAAAAGAAATCTCTCAAGATATCTGCCACATCCTACCAGCAGCAATGTTGCTCCAAGGGCCAAGCAAAAAACCATGGGTCCGGTGAGGTCTGTCTCGTTCATAATGCTGCCATCTGCAGGTTTCATTGGATTTAGAACTGTTAACGTTTTTTGCCATATATGCTCAAAATTGATCCCAAGTTCTGCAATGAGACATTCCACGATTGTTAATTGCCCACAAGAAAACAGCACTTTTACATAAACCCATGAGCTACCACAAAATATTGTAGGATGACGTATTCTGTAGTAGGAACATGCTGTCCCTGCTATATACCCAGTGTATTCGAGAATCAGCTCTGATTCTAAATTGAGATAGTAATTTATTAAATCCAATTTTAGGCAGTGAACCAAAAAATGCCCCCAGCATTTTTGAGTTAATATTTGTTTTTCCTATATTTAAACCACATATATCTAATGCCACACTAAGTTAGATGGTGAAAAATATGCTAATTAACAGTAACTGCAGAATTCAAGTTACTCTAGAACACCGAGGACAGAGATATACGCTTTAATTCTGGCAAATCTGACAAGAGATGTGTCTTAAGTCTGAACTGCCAGAGGCACTTAAAAATGACATTCTTCCCTTCAAGGCAAGTTAATAATGCTTCATGCAGTGCTTTATAAGCTTTCTTTGCATTTAAAAAGTAATTACTGAGGACCCCTAGAAAAAGAACAATATTCTTCCCTGTTAAAGTCAATGGGAATTCTGCCATTAACTTTACTGGGGCAAAGATTTCTCTTGTAACTTCTGCTGAAACACTTCAGCTTGCAAGAGTAATCATCTTCCCTGAGATGCTCCAGCAAGGGAAAAGTTAGGTTCAGAACTGGGTGCCAGAATCACTGAGACTGACAATGTTTTAGGTCTGTCTGGAAAGCCAAGTCTTAATCTTCCGTCACCGATCCATCACCCTGAGCTGAGTCAAAACATCATATAAAGTTGTTCTGTATTAAAATGTGTGCCTTTGGTGAGATTTATTTGTTACACAGATATAAGCATCTCTGATGTCCTGAGGATCAGAAGCATCTGTATTTCAACATCCTTTTCACAGGGTGGGCTGCCTGTGGAGTTAAGTGCTTAGAGGTCTAAGAGGTAAAGACCTAGCAGTTATCTATATCAAATAGAGTGATCTTGCTGTTTTTAAGGCAGTAGGAGCATCTTTTAAGTAGTAAAAAATCCACTTGCCTTCCAGCATGCAAAAGCAGGCTGAATATGAGCTTTTTATATTATGCTGAAATAATCACAAATTCTTTGATTTTTTTTTAATATAGCACAAGTATTTTGTAAACTACAAAATCAGCCACTAGCATTAAGATGGTTCAATCATCATAAAGAACGATATTGTTCATGTAGTTAAATGATCAAGTAGTTGAAGCTGAAAGCAGCTTTCTCAATTTCTTTCCCACAGAAACAAGCTATTTAGCATCTTCAAAATATTAAATTTATTACTAGATACACAAAAAGGATTATTATCAGTATTTATTAATTATAGATGTACCAATACGTACGCAGGATAAACACAGAGTGGAAAAAAACATTTGGAAATGTGAATGCAAAACTTATCGTTATGCTGTCACCTAGTGGTAGTAAAGTATATGCTACGTAAGCCATAAGGCTGAATGAATCCATGGCGAATTCAAATAAGAAAATGTAAGTTTGGGGGCCAGGGGCTGTTGGCTGAAGCTCGCACAGCCAGGCTTGCCAGCTCTGCTGCAGTTTCTCTGGTGACTGCCACTGGCTGGCAAAGAAAAGCATTGGTACCCCCAGGAACCACACACATTGTCTGTGGTTTTATTTTTACCTTCTAGCAAAGGAGGTTCCTCGTCAAATCCGTCGGAGTAACTAAGATGAGAGAGAGTGTTGGGACTGTATGTTGGCTGCAAAATCTGGCCCACGTAACTCTGAGAGGGCAGAAGCATTGCCGACGGGGCAAAAGCACTGGCTGGAGGTTGCTCTCCTGCCTGGCTCCTGGGACAAGAAGTAAATCACAGCAAAACACGTAACTGCCATGAGCAATTTCACAACAGCTTAGAGCTGCTCACCATGCACCATGGTTTAAATTTTCACCTATCATCAATTTGGGGAACCTGGAAATTTTATGGGCACAGTATGGGAATGACGAGCTACTGACCGTGGCTTTGCTTCCCTTCACCACAACCCCCTCTGAAACCAGGCAGGGCTCCTTGCCAGCCTGCCAGCACACTGCAGCCCATAGCACCCACTTTTGTGCCCATCCAGCTCAGGCAATGGCACTGCACAGGCCCCCGGGCTGGGAGTGAGGGGAAAGGGAATTTAGGAGCTCTGAGGGCGTTCACAAATTTAGGCACTCCTGACTTTTCCACCAAGCAGCCTGGTGACATTCCTCAGATATGTCCATACTGCTAATGAAAAAGCAATACATTTAGATATTTTTTTTCTTGAATCTATGAAGGAGCTTAAGAAATTTCTAGCAATATGTGCCCTAAAATCCACCTTAATAACATGACGCTCAGGTAAACAACCTGTAACATCTGTACATATAAAAGTAGCATGAAACCCAATCCTTTATAAGGAAAGGTTCAATTATAAGTCATTCTGCCTTGGGGAAAGTTTAGATGATCTCCTGAAGCTCTTTCCTACTCCTGCAAGCCCCAAAGCCAGCTGGATCCATCAGCCACTGAACAGGGAAGCTGCAGCAACACTCAGCCTCCTACCGCAGTTGTGTGGAAATCTCCTAGGGGCAGAAGTCACCAATAGGTTTAAAAAATATAAGAAAAAAATGAAATAATAAGTTTCTTCCTGTCTTTCTACTGATATGGCTTGTATTTCTGCACTAAAGCTTCCACTGTATTGATTATGCAACCCTTTTTTGGCAATTGCATGCTGGTTTTTGTCATTGATTTCATTTGAGCTTTGAGATATATAGCCTGTTTTCTCTCCTTTTTTTTTTGTTTTTTTGGGTTTTTTTGATAGTATACTTACTTTCTGCTTCCAGAGAGGTTTTCAGTAGACCCATAACCGTTGTAACCTTCTTCCTGGTCATCTATGGTGTAATTGGACTGGTAAAAGTCAAAGTGAAACTGCTCGAAATTTGACATTCTGTCTGGAAAAATGATTGCAAATATCAATAAAATAGCCTTTGGAACAAGCCAATATCTATGAGCTGTCCTAAACTGAAATGAAAAGGATAAACCTCAAAAGCCACAAACTCAAGAGAATCTTTCTGTAGGAATGCATGATAATTTGGAAGTGACAAAAATGGACTCTTTACTTTCTTTTGTTGTAACAAGAGAAATTCATCTTCTGTTACTGGTAATTGCCGTATATTAATTTACAAGTGGTATACAAGGCTTCCTGCCTTGTTAGTGTTACCAAAAATAACATAAGTAATTTTGAACAAGGATATATATCAAGTAAACTGTTGTTTTAAACAATTCATTTTCCTACTTTAAAAAAAAAAAATGTGGCCATGTCTGAATGCTTAGAATTTAATGTTTTTAAGAAGCATTTTGGGTTTCAAAAACAGTTACTATTTTCAGCTATTTGTGTTCTGCAATACAACTATCATAAAACAATAGAAAAATGAGAATATATTCACAGAATTTGTGATTTCTGTTCAGGGACACTGTAGCTGGCATATTAGGAGTACCAGAAGAAGATTCTCACTGGTTAGCTAATGACTTTGGAGCAGACAGCAAACAGAATGATTGGAGACAGCTCTGTAGCTATGGACTGATTAGACTAAGAAAGGAAAAACTCATCCGTTTTCCCTTCCATGTTGTGACTACCCCAGGATGGGGTCGTTCCTGGTTTTGTAACCATTTGAATTTTGTACACTTTGCACACGGGCCCATTTACCCATACCCTGTAGGCAGGACTGGTTGTCTGGGTCATATATAAGCAGCATAAGAAATGAGGCACATTGGTTCTGTAAAGCATCATGTGCCTTTTGGCACTAGAGAGTGTTTTAAATTGCAAAGATATTTTATTATTTCTTAGATTTGGTCTAGGTCCTTCTCGTGTGACTAACATGGCTAACTATAAAACCACAAAATGGCTTCAAATTTGCCAGGTCTACCAAGGCAAGTCATTCCGTGCCCTAAGAGTATCCACAAGATTAAGGACTGACCCTGTTTCACCTCAGTGTTGCCTTTATGCTGAGCCACAGGCAGCAAAGATATTACACCTGCTTGGAGCAGTGCATGGGTTCGGGGAGTCCCCAAACCACCAAACTGGAGACTGGAGAGCACCTCTGGGGATTGCCTGGTCCAAGCCCCTGCCCAAAGCAAGGACACTGACAGCAGGCTGCTCAGGGCCGTGTCCAGCTGGGTTTTGAAAAGTTTGGCTTTGTCATCTTTGCTCCCTCCCATCAGGCAGTTACAGTCATTGAGGAGATCCCCCTGAGCCCTCTCTCCTGCCAGCTAAAGCTCTTCAGTGATTTAGACAAAGGTCTGAGCAGGATTTGCCTGTATTTAAATGCACAGATAAATGCATGTGTTTCACCACTTGGCTAGCATTTATACAGTTAAACTCTTAAAACACACAGAGAAGCTCTATAACCTGACTGATAACCATAACAATATCCAATTTACTTAGAATTTCCTGTAAGATATTCATCTCTCCTAGCATTTCCCATTTTTTTTACTTTTGCCCTCTTTTCCAACTTTCCAAATGCCATTGGCAAAAATATGCTTTTCCTCTCACAGTTATCTCTACATTTATCAAGCACATAGTGCTTGTGGGAAAGATCTTTGCAAATCTCTTTGTAAGGTAAAAGTTATAAAGATTAGTATTTCATCAGGGACCTTGAATAATATGTAGCAGCATATTAAAGTTTCTAAATTGTATCACATAATCAGACTAATTTGTGGGGACCCGATTCCTTCATTTACCTTAGAGCATTCAAAGTAGAAGTTATTCTTACATTATTTTCTTAACCGCTGACCAGTCATGCAGAATTTCCAAATTTAGAAGGGAAATAATTTTTACGTTGTCAACACGAATTAATACAAATTAATTGTACTAAGCTATTTACCGTGGTTTCATTGGGAATTGCACACCACTTATGCTTTTCTTCAATACAGATTTTACATGGAATATGTTTTTAAAAACTTTAGTTGGTACCTCTACTCAAATAGTTCAATTCCAGTAAGTCTTTAATGTTCTTTGCTGTCACTATAAGGAATGAAATAATTACTTAACCAGATATGCTACAATCTGTATAATGGAGTTAAGAAAAGATAAATTTATTTTCAAAAAGAATTCAGAGTTAAGGTTACTTACTTTTTAAGATATTTGATGAAAACTCCAGTCTGTTGAATTTACATGTTGGAGAACACCTAAAATATCCTCTTGCTTCAACAGGGATGACCGTAGTGCTATTTATAAGATTCTAAATTTGATCTTTGAACAGATGCATATGGAGGAAAAAAAACCCCACAACCTGTCAATATCCCGGCCAGCATTTAACAAGAGCTAACAACAATAAGCAGAAGAGGATAGGAATCTTCAGGGAAAGCAGAACCAAATGAACAAATACTGTTCTATATACCTCAACACAATAATCTCAATTGTAGTTTAGAGCTTCTGTCTTAAGTAGGTATTTTATAAAGGTCCTGGTGGAGCCTTCATGAGCTGAGCTGTTAGATATTAAACCTTTTTAACAATATGTAATTAAATACCTGTTAAATGAGTAGGGTAAATACATTTACTGGGGGGTATGTTTCTAGCAGGTATTTCCACAGTGCAGACTATGGGCCACATGCAGCCTCAGAGCCATTCCTTGTGTCTGGCAGAGGGAGCTTTCCATCTGTGCCTCTTGCGAAGAACGTAATGCTCCCTCGGACCACAACAAGCAGAGGGAGGGAAGGCGAATGTCCAAGGCCAGGGCGCGTTTCAGGGAGAGCAGCCAGGCCTGCTCTCCAGGCACATCCCCCTGCTCCATCACTTCTCCAGGAACTCTCATCCACCTGCAAAGCAGACTCTTGCAGTGCAGCACCCACCACACCAGGACCAGGGCAAATCTCTACTTAATCTCTACGGAACGCTGCTCTGCGCTTTGAGGGCTTTTATTGAATATGTTGACATCAGATTCACGGTTAATTTTTTTCATGCAATGCTCAGAGTGATAGCCTTCTCCTTACCTGACCTGTTAGGATGAAACATCAGGAACTGGCTAGTCCTGGCTGCTAGAAAACTCGCAGCACACTATGGATTTTGAAATAGAGTTTAAACTTCAAAGGCAGCTTTTCTATTTACACATACTTTAGTATCAGGTATTTAAACAGTCATAATGGGTGCTGCCTTTTTCACTGATTTATTGGATGGATTCCCAATGAGCACTTGGGCTGGTTAATTTAAGGAATGAGACATTAAATGGGATGATTATCAGGCCATTAATCTATGCCTCAGTTGCATATTAAATTCTGTGAGGTTGAAGGTCAAATGACTTCAGTTTCATTAGAAGAATAACCATGCTCTGTTAGCTCATGACCTACAACTCTATGAAAGAATATAGGTGCATTTTTAAATAAGAAAAAATGAAGTATGCCAAGTTTTCATTCAGTATATATGTCCAAAAAAGAGCCCAGAACTGAAGGATGGTGAGTAGAAAAATATAACATCTGTTTCTGCTACTTTAGGGTAATCTAACTACGATATTTGTTACAGTTATTGTTAAACCTTCCTCATGCTGTTAAATTTCTCTCCTGCCATTTCCAGCAACAATTCACATTGCTGTGCCCACAAAGGTGAATTTTCAGTTTCAGTTCTTAGCAAACTGCTAAGCTCTATAATGTCTAATCATCTCCATTTAGATAATATGGCTTGGTCTTCTTTATACCAAATCAGTGGGGGGAATGATGTAGGATTAACTTCTGTCATTCAGGAAGGCAACCAGAAAAATACTTTTTTAGGCATAGAAAAATCCTAATTTGGTAGGGTTATGCCTGTTTATTTTAATTACAAAATTGACTTTGTTACTTTTGCTATTTTTAATTAGAAAAAGTTGTATACCTATATATATGTTTTGCATACAAATATATATATATATATATATATATAATATGCATATGGGCTGCCAGATAAGAACTGGGAATAATTATCAGACAAGGCACTTCAGAGAAGGAATTTAAATAGAAAAAAAATACAATGACTAGTGGTGGGGAATTGCTGAAGAATATTTTAAGAGCTGTCTAACATATCACAGTTAGAAAAGAAAGCCACCTGAAAATTAAATTAAAAAAAAAAAAGAATGAAATTAAAATTGAAACTTATCTATATTTCTCTCCATATATGAAATTAAAATATACTTTATTATACATATTATACATGAATGATACATCTATACTATGTTAATATCCCTGTGCATATAGGCATATAAATGGACATCTAAAATTCAAAAATGGAAAATAATGTTAGTTAGAAATGATGATGCAGACAATTGATTAAAAAATAAAAAGAAGATAAGATTAAGTAGTTGATGGAAAAGTGACCCATAGAAACTGGGACCGTCCAAGCATATTAGAAGCAGACAGAATCATACCAGTACTGCTGTTTTCCTATTAGATGAAAAAGTAAAGGGATCAATAAAACAAAAAGACAGCAACATTTAATTAGAAATGCTCATATCAACATTTTAAAACTCTGCACCTAAAAGTTTTAGAAGAACTGGTCAAAAACTTTCTACATTGTTGAGTTGCGAAACAACAGGAAAGTCTGAGAAAATCAAAACAAAGCCATTCTGTAAAAGGCTAAATGAGATGCCCCGAGGAATTATTGGCCCATCACCACGAGATTAATCCTAGCAAATTATGGGCTCAAATAATAAATAACTGCATCAATGAATCCAATCAACACGGGCTTTTGGAAACTAGCTCATTTCAAACTAATTTATTTTCTAACAAGGCTTATAGTTGGGAAAGGTAACCACTGATGACCTATATTTACTCAAGGCATTTTACTTGATTTTGCTTCAATAAATATAGAACCATCACTGCTTAATGGGACAACCATTATACTGATTAAATAAGCGCTATCTGATGTGTCTCAAATGTAATTGCAAAAGAGGGGAGGATTTCTAATGGTGTCTTACAGGACA